ATGAAACACCTGGGAACCTGAACGACCTGAAACCACCAAAACCGGGCAAACACGAAAAGCAAGAAAAATAGGAAGAAAAACAAAGAAAACACGAAACACACCTGAATAACACTAAAACACGAGAAACGACTCGGAGGACTGGAAAAACCTAAGAAACAACCTAAAACGGGGGAAAACACATGCAAAACATAGACAAAAATAGCAACAAAAATGGGACAAACAGACCCATCCATTCTCTACATTTTCCAAGAACCTTTCCCAAGAGATCGTAGAAAGATGGTCGTCATTTATTTCCAATAAGAGTAGCTTGAGCCATCCAATTGCGGAGTCCTAGACATGGATCCACCATCATGATTCATGGCTGCCCTTCAACAGATCCTCAAGATCTTCGTGTATACGTACGAAAATCCGCTCTGATGCCAATTGAAGTTTTGGGAGATATACTAGAAATGCGCTAAGTATATAAAACAGTAAACTTAGATGTAAGTTCACACAAAGCGGAAGCAGGGTTCTACAAAACATAAACCTTAAGGGGAGCATCCCACTCCCCCTCCATAACTCTTTCGTATATATAAGTGTTTGGCCCATTACACATAGGATTTACAAAGAAGACTCCCTCTTCTGGACCTACAATGGAATCAGCTATATAACTACTTTCCCAACCACAAATCCCTTGTGGATTTTTCTCAACACGAATCCCTTGTATTATTTTTCAGTGTTGCTCCCAAACACTAACTCTCAGATAAAATAAGAATACGCTCACCAATGAGATCGAGAATAGGCTCTCGTCTCCAGTTAGTCAAATACAATAGAAATGTAAAAACTCTCGAGTAGTTCACCCAAGGTTCTCTCTTTTTTGATCTTCTCCAAAATACAAAAATAATATCAGAAGTGTTGGCTTCCAGTTAAGCGTGGAAGCCTTTTTATCTCAGCACATTATGGCAAGTCCTCCTTGTCCTCAATCTACCAAATTTAGTCGCGTCCTCATACATGCGGCCGCTAGTCCCTTTTGCAAGACAACTCCACTTGGTAAGTCTTCCTTCTCTATCATTATTGCTTCTTAAGGTAAGTGCGCGTATGACTGCTTTATATGGAAATGAATCTCATTTTCCTTCAAGCAAAATAATCTAGGTAAGGGGGAAAGAAATAAAATCAATCAAGTAACTAAGATATTGAAAACTTCCTTTTTTTTTTTTATTTTCGCACAGTTCCAGAAGGTGATGAAGGTTCCAAACATCAGTTCAGAGTTTGTTGATTTAATGCCAACCTTCAATGTTATACATTTCATGTGGGGGATGGTAGGGCAACTAAAATTTGGAATTCACCTTGGATCCCTAAGAGATCCTCCTTTAAACCAGATTCTCAATTTCAGGATGATAGGGAGAGGTTTGTGAGGATTTATGAGTTGATAAAACTAGGGGGAGGGTATGAAATTTGGATTTAATTGCTCAAACTTTCAATCCCTATGATGTTGAGTCTATTAGTAAAATTCACATTAGTCATTTGGGGAGAAAAGATAAATTAATGTGGTAATTTTTTTTATTTTTTATTTTTTGGTACAATGAAAGAAGGCCAAGGCCTTAGAAAACGATTATGCTAGAACACGACGGGGGTAAGAAACCCCAATAAGGTCATGCTGAAGCCATGCTCCAAGGCCAAGAGGGGGAGACGAAATCCGATGTAGCCCGACCGAAGAGGATGCCGCTAAGCTCGCCATATGATCCACCACAAAGTTAACTTACCTATGAACGTATTGAAGCTTAATGCTCCATTCGCGATCTAGAATGCTCCGAATGGCCTTAAACTAGTGCTGCATGGGTCCCAAACCTATCCATCGTGCCACTAACCAACTTCATTACACACTAGCTGTCTCCACTGGCTGTCTACCTCTGCAATGACTTGTCGGAAACCCAAATCCCACACCATAAGCAACCCTTGCAGGAGTCCCCATAGCTCGGCACCCGTAATAGTGCAGTAGCCAATGTTCATAAGGAAGTCGTCCCTCCATCTACCAAACTCGTCTCTGATCAAACCGCCGGCGCTGCTCAACCCGGTAGAGTTATCTAAGGCCCCATCTGTATTTACCTTTACCCATCCCGTGTCCGGTGGGACCCAATGAATGAATCTGGTAGTATATAAATTAGCCCCAACACGAACATGGGCTTCAGCTGCCCGACTGTAGGTTTCCGTGAAACAAACAACTTCCAAGAGCCTCGCTTCGTTGCTCAAAGACTGATGGTTGAAAATTCTATCATTACGCCACATCCATAAGCGCCACACAACAAAAGATAACATGTTGTTCCATTCAAGAAACGGTCCCAGCTGCATTGTTGCCAGATTTTGTCGAATCCAGGATTTGATAGGCAAAGAGAAGAACTCGGGTCCCTGGTCTAAAGGAATTAGCCGTGGCCAAAATTCCTGGCAGCCCGGCAATCCTGTAAAACATGTAACGCCGACTCACATTCCCCACAAACGTCACAATCCTTCGAAGAAGCGATATGACGCCGAACCTACTCTTCATTAGGCAGCAACCGACCCTTCACGACGAGCCAGAGAAAAGTTTGAACTCTTTGCGTGGCTGGAGCATGCCACACTAATTTCCAAAGTGGTTTATCGGGGTCCTCAGCCGGTTGAAGTAATGCTTTGTATGCTGACGGTGTGGAGAACTTTCCGTCCTAGGAGTAGCTCCAAACCATGCGGTCTTCTCTAGCGTCTTCTCTCGGCGAGAGGATTCTGGCTATTCTCAATATCACCGACGGGGGAAGAAGACCATAGAACTCGTTCCATTTCAACCTTCCGAACTCATCCACATACGCGGCCACCTTCGCGGAGGGGTTAACTTCCGGCGGCCGTTGGGCTAAGAAATTGATCAGCGATCCTTCTGTAACCAGCCAAGGGCCGACCCAAAACTGAATCGTCTCCCCGTTTCCCAAGATCCATTGCACACCCTTGACTAAGTTCGGCCACACTTTTCGGAGAGCACTCAATAGTCTAGAACCTTATCTAAGCTGCAAGTTCTCACCGATAGCCCTGGGAGTGAGTCCATATTTAGCCACAAATGTACGTACCCATAATGAGTCTCTATTCGTCAGGATATCCCACCCTAATTTCATCAAGAAGGCGTTGTTCATGCGGCGTAAATTTTTTTATGCCCAGGCCTCCCTCTTCTTTAGGTTTGCACACCTCCGTCCATGAAACCAAGTGGACCTTCCGTTTTACATCTGAGCCTCCCCATATAAAGGCCCAACTCCTTTGCGCAAGGTCGTCCTTAATTAATGGAGCAGGGTAACATGGCAAATTGCATTGAATAGAACGGTAGCGTACTCAGGGCCGACTGAGTAAGAGTCACTCTCTCCGCCAACGATAATGATTTCATTTGCCACCCGGTTAATCTCGCCTCCGTCTTATCCACTAAGTGCGTGTACGTACCGTTTGTCACTTGGCCGTTAATAATGGGAACACCAAGGTATTTGCCTAGATCCGCCGTCCACTTGAAGTTGAGCTGGTCCGCCAACCTATATTGTTCCTCGATCTCCATATTATTGGAAAAGAAGACTAACGTTTTTTCCAAACTTACTTTAAGTCCCAAGTAATAGCAGAACTGATGGAGAGTGTTCTTCAGCGTAACCACCTGATCATCCACCGCTTCCAGGAATAAAAGGAGATCGTCAGCAAACATTAGAAACGGGACCCTAACAGCTCCCCGTCCCACCAATATAGATCGCCACGAGTGCTCGTCAACCGCCTTGTAGATGATTTGCGCCAATCTTTCCATGCAGAGAACAAAGAGGTACGAGGAGATAGGATCACCCTGCCGGACCCCTAGGGTAGGAAGGAACTCTTTCCACTTGTCCCGTTCCACAGTAGATTCATCGAAGTCGAGTTGATACTAGCCATGACAGCCGTTACTAATTTTTTGGGATACCCGGCTAGGCGCAACGTTTTTTCAATGAAATCCCAACGTAAATAATCATAGGCCTTTTTGAGGTCAACTTTAATAAACATGAAGCCCTTCGCCCCTCGCTTATTACGCATAGAGTGAATGAGTTCCTGGGCGACGACGATATTGTCTGTAATATGGCGTCCCGGGACTAAAATCACTTGTGTTGGGTGGATCAAATCCGGCAGAGTACTCTTCATTATGGTGGACAGAGCTAGGTAGGACTGGATTGAAGTTACCTCTTCAGGTCAACCTGATTCAGTGTAAAGCAGCCTTCTGATAAGTTTGTTGCTTTCCATGTGGATAATTTTGCTTTTAGAGTAGGACATGTTGTGTTATCTGTCAGTGCGCAAGTTACAGTTTTGGGGGAAAGAACTTTTAGAGGCTTTGCTAAGAAGGATGAGGTGTTATTGTAGAATTGGTCAGTTGTTTGGGAAGGGACTGCATCTAAGAATGAGACTACTATTTTGGCTGTGAGATGGATCCTTGATGAAGCTGAACAGATGGGGTGGAAAGATATAATTTGCTGCTTGGATTCAAAAGAGGTAGTCCTTTGGTTGAATTCAAATAATTTTGTCAGTTCTCGTTTTTGTTTTGTGTTTGAAGACATTTGGACTTTACATTCATTGTTTGGTTCAGTTTCTGTTTGAGGTTCATATTTAAGCCATGTTGGCTTTGTAGGAAGAGCATTGAGTATATCTCCCGTAGATTTCTACCATGGTGTCCGTTAGGGAAGGAGTTGTGTAATCAATTGGGTACCTGTTTGTATATTTTGAGGTTTAATCATATAATTTGTTCGTTTGAAAAAAAAAAACAAAAAAACAATACTAACTCCCCCATACCAAGAGAATTAACAATGCTTTGAGTCTAATTTTGCTTACGTGATATGTAGATTAACCTGAGTCTCGAGTCACATGGATAGAATTATATAAAAATAACACAATACCAAGTCTCTTTTTTTTGCTGTCACATCAGCAAGACTCAATCCACTAACACGTACTGAAAAATATAAAACTGAAATATGAATTATTTTGAATCAACACAAAATATTGAGGATGGTGTAATAGTATCACACACATTTCCATTTTGTCACTGGTTTTCGTTACTTTGGTTTGGTGGGGTACTCTTCTTTGGTAAAACTAAAAACTCCTCGCACCAACCCACGCAGCAACAAAATGATTTTAGGGTTCATATACGCGTCCACAATTTTCAACCGATATTTGTTCTTTATTACTTGAATAATTTGGTTTTCATTTTGTTAAAATTTTATTTATTTTAGATTTCAGCATCTGTGAGAGAGAGGGAGATTGAAGGTAGATGGGCGTGGTCAGTTTGTTCTGTCAGAGTTCAACCTGTTTCATGGACAGACGAAACCTCAATCCCAGCTGCGAACTCCAAGGGAATTTTAGGCGGGGCCAAATTGCATTCATGACCCCGCCGGCATCATCGGCCGCCGCCGTGCCGGCGAAAGAGGAGAGCCAACAGGAGCACGGCGGTGCGTTGTCAGGGGATTCGTTTATTCGACCTCATCTCCGTAAACTGTCCCCTTATCAGCCCATTCTACCTTTCGAGGTTAGTTCAATGAAATGTGAATAGGAATTGGGTGAAATAGAAATGCACTCAGAGTGTCCAATAAGAAGTCACATTTTTACTTTCTTATTGTCCTTGTTTTGGGTTATGGTAGTGCGGTTGGATATTTGACATACATGATGCTGTGCAGCTATTCAAAGAATTTAGCTAATGGTTCTTAGACTGGTATCATTTGGTAAATAATGCAAGTGTTTGTTTCATGTTCTTCTGCTCTTCTAAAGATTAATGTAACATCCTCCTATGTTTCAGCACGTGTAGATATTTTTGTTTCTCAGTCCCTTCATAATTGTCTTGGAACTGAAACTCTCTCACTTGTTTTCAAGTTATTTCCGTTCAAAGTGTCACTTTTTTTTTTAAAAAAAAATTATTATTATTTTTTTTTAATTATCAGTTGTAATATAAGTTGCAGCAGACTAATAGGAAAAAGTAAACTCGCTTTTTTATTTGTTATTTTGGCAGCTCTTGATGATTAATCCAATTTATGGTTTCTTCCTGCCCTTTGTTTTGCACTAATGTTTACTTTGAGCATTCAAAAGATACCTAAAGTTTTGATTCTTTGCATGTCCAAATATGGGTGGATTCATAATTTCCTTGGATATTATTATAATTGTAAATGTTATGTGTGCAGGTGTTGTCTACTCGTCTTGGTAGGAAGCCCGAAGAGATTATCAAATTAGATGCTAATGAGAATCCATATGGTCCGCCGCCAGAGGTGACTAAAATCGATTGTACTCTTCTTATGTTAGTATTCATTCAATACTATGTGGATAAATCTTATTTTTTCTTCAGCAGGCCTTAGCTTGTAGTTTTACGTTGTCTTACAGTCAAAACTACAACTTTCATGTAGGTATTTGAAGCCTTGGGTTCCATGAAGTTCCCTTATATCTATCCTGATCCTGAAAGCCGTAGATTACGAGCTGCACTCGCTCAAGATTCCGGTCTTGAAGCTGAATATATTCTTGCGGGTTGTGGAGCAGATGAGCTTATTGATTTGATAATGCGGTTTGTAGTTAATAAATATTCCTCACCGAAGGTTTGTGTTTCAAAGGTGATTTGTGGTTATCGGTCTTATTTCTGTTTTTTTCGTTTAAATGATCCTATACAGATGTGTTTTGGATCCCGGTGACAAAATTGTTGATTGTCCACCGACTTTTACAATGTATGAATTTGATGCTGCTGTTAATGGGGCACTTGTTATCAAGGGTAAGCTTGCTCCGTCTTTTATCTTATACCTTGTGGTGGTCTGGTTTGACATTGATTTTGACGCCTCTCGTAGCTATTTTTTATACTTTCACTACTTTTTCTTGGAAGTCAACTTATTTGAGGATTAATTACTGGAATTATTTCAGCTTAATAACAAAATGAAAAAAAAAACATTATCCTTAAAATTTTAAAGAGCCCTCAATTTGCATTTGACCAACAAAGGGGAATTTGTGAATCTCAGGGAAGTTGTTGTAACACATCTTGTGGGGGATATTTGCAATTTTGTAGTATTAGTCGAGTTTTATTAATTTGGCTAAATGGCAGGGATATTTGTAATTATACCTAAATTTAAGTCAAATGTTTGAGAAAGAAATTGATGATACATGTGTTGTTCTGAGAATACTATGATATCATATATGATGCCAAGTATTCTGCAGTTTTCTGTATTAATGTCCTTACAGTGATACTATAACTTGGAGCTTATCCTATTTGCCAGTTCCTCGAAAGCCCGACTTCAGTTTGGATGTGGATAGAATAACTGAAGTTGTTGACCAGGAGAAGCCCAAGTGTATATTTCTGACTTCACCTAATAATCCAGATGGAAGGTGATTTTGCTTTCTGTCAATTCTTCCACCTTTTTAGTCCTTAAATACACTCCTTGGTTGTTTATCTTTTCTCTCGCTGCATCATGATTCACGTATTCTGTTTCCAAATTTACTTCATTTTCGATGTCGCAAATTTTAATGACAACAACCGGTCAAGTTCTAGGTAGTGACAATTGATGGTCTCTATCCATTTCTGAAAATTGTGTGGATGAAGAGATTCGAACAAAACCATAGAATGTTACTAGGTTTGATATAAACTGATGGCCAACTTCTTTGGTTCTCTGGTTATTGGTGACCAAAAGACTGAATGACCTCATCCAACCTACCCACCCACCCAACCAAGCTCTCCAACAATTCCATGCTAACTCTTTTTTGGTGTTTATTAGATACGAATGTGTAATTTTTATAGTTCAGAATTCAGGTAATCAGGTCACTTGGAATCATATGCCTTTATCCTTTTATAGTACCCATCTTCTGGAGTTCTTGGTGAACTGTGTTTTTTCTTTGCCCCATAAAATTTGCAGGTAGCAAAAATGTAAATCCCTACATAAAATAGAGAAAATAAATTTTCTAAAGCAACTATTATCTCAAAATCCTGATCAATATTCTTGAACTTGTGAACCAAAATCCACCTCTTTTGAAACTTAAAATTCAAAATGATCTGACAAATCGTGGTATTTAGGAGAGGGAAAGTAGAATAGTTGATATTTATCGTTTTTTTTTTTTGGCAGTGTACGTATTTTGTGATTACAATCACAAAAGGCCACGACACATTACCCTACCAAAATGGAACAAAGGCCCAAGCAAATTACCGGCTATAGTAAGGAACTATTATAGAACAATTAGCTAAGGTTGCTATTATAGTGTCCATACACTCTGACTGGCTAATTCTTGATGTGCTGTGTACATGACGAGTGGATATAAATTAATATTGGAAGGCAACTGTACTTATGTCGAATTAGGACTGGAGACTAGACAAGTGCTTTTGTTGATAAATACTTGTACTGACATTTGAATATTCATAATATCAGCCTCGAGTAAACTGTAGAGTGCCTTTCCACATCTCAATGACTACCAGAAGTGGTCAAAACTTTTCCATGGTCTGTACATTAGAATTATTCGTGTTCAGTGTTCAATTGCTTTTTGTAAACTGTTTCAACTGATTGTTGTTAACTTTAACTTCCCTTACTCAACGCTACTTTGTAACTTTTGCTTATCACTACCAATGGCAGCATTATTGACGATGAAACACTTATCAAGATACTTAATCTTCCAATATTAGTGGTTCTGGATGAAGCTTATATTGAATTTGCGGGACTCGAGTCTAAGATGAAATGGGTGAAGAAGTATGAGAATCTTATTGTGCTGCGTACATTTAGCAAGAGAGCTGGTACCGTCCCTTCTCCTTCACAGTTCTAGGCTTTATATATATGATTGGTTTCCTTGATATTGAATTGTACAATCTCCACCATGAAATCTCATTTGCAATATATATGTTTACTCAAACTTATCATATATAGGGGGTTATAAGACTTACTTTAGTGAATCATAATTTCATATATGAGCATATTTTGAGTAGCAGTCATATATATTTCCTATAGAAAGACCTATCATGTAAAATGCCCACTCACCAGGAGCCCCAAGGCAACCATATTTTATGTTATGGATTTCAAATTTTGATTTATGATCTTATAGTAAGTCTAACCAACTTCGTGAGTTTTGATTTCCCTTCTGTCAGCTGAGAAAACACTAGTAGCCATTGTTGATGGTATGAATATGACCTTGATGTGATGATGACAACCGATATTGTAATTGATTCAGCTTTGGCGGGACTTAGAGTTGGATATGGAGCATTTCCATTGAGCCTTATCGAGTACCTATGGAGGGCTAAGCAACCATATAACGTGTCTGTAGCTGCTGAAATTGCCGCTTGTGCAGCACTAGAGAATCCTGCCTATCTAGAGGTACCAGGGCCAACATCTGTTTCATTTTTGAATTCTCTTACATAATAATGTTTGTAATTATAGACACACACGAATACAGAAATAAATTTAAGATAAATAATAAAATAAGCCCCTGAATTATGTGGTCTTTTGCACTGTCTTCTGAACCTCTTGTTTTGTTTCCCTTTAACCACTTAGTTATGCTTTTCTGCACTTTTCCCCAGAGCCATGTCAGAGTAGATGTCTCTCGGTTTTGTATTTGTTGAGGGGACAAAGTAAAAGTAAAATGAACTGCATAGTTTAGAGTGAAGATAGGGAAAAGTTTTGGATAGAAATATAAAGACTGTATATTTCTGAAGATTTACTGCTCTTTGCTCTATATAAGGCAGACACTAATGCTTATGTATCTGGATTATGTCAGAAAGTGAAAGAAGCTTTGGTTGTAGAACGAAAGAGGCTTTTCAAGCTTTTGAAAGAAGTACCATTCCTCAACCCGTATCCAAGCTACTCTAATTTCATTCTATGTGAGGTCACATCTGGAAAGGATGCGAAGAAGTTGAAGGTGAAAAACCTTTTTTTCATTGTTCTATCTATATATGGAAGTTTTGGTTACAGTCGCATTTCAGTTTTTCTCTTCTAAATGGTCATCATTTGCGTCAGCTTAGTTCTATCATAATAGATCCCATTATATATATAGTGATTGTAGTTCTTCTTCTTCTTCTTCTTCTTCTTCTTCTTCTTTTTTTTTTTTTGTCTCGAATGGGGTTTGTTTTAAGGGAGTGGTTGTTGAAATAAATCCCAGACCAAAACATACCTCAAAACAAGGAACCGGTGAAAGCAACCNTTTTCTTTTGTTGTTTTAGAGACTTGGTAAAAGCTTTTATTTAACAGGAAGACCTCGCGAAAATGGGATTGATGATTCGTCACTACAGCAACAAAGAATTAGCTGGTTATGTTCGTGTCTCTGTGGGAAAGCCTGATCATACAGATGCTTTAATGGAAGGCCTCAAGCGCCTTTATTAATCTTATCCAATGTTTTTTGTGCAACACCTAAAACCTTTGAGAGCAAAATGCTAGAGTGAGTTTGCTGATACCACCGCATTAATCAAGTTTACTTCCCTAGTGTTGAATTTGGTTTGGAGGTTAAGGGTTGTTATTTCAGTTTTCAAACCCGTTAACCTCAGATTCGTGGATTTAAATGAAGCCAGCTAAAACTGAAATCTCACAAAGATTTGTGTTAAAATCAAATGCTGGGCACTTTTTGGATTTTGGCCCACAATTCCTAGCAAATATTGGGAGATTGTGTGGATCCAAGTAATTGTTGTGCAAATGTATCAACCAGCAAAGTGGTAGAACAAAATCGGTGTCAGTGGAAGTTTTTCTTTCTTTCTTGAATTACACAATGTCTTCATATGCCTTCTTTTGCTTTCTCTTCTATGATCTTTAAGGGATAATTACATAAACTACTACTCAGATACAAGTACAGAAGAGCTTGAAAGGATTTCAGAGCTAATTAAATGCTATTCAGGTTTTGGTTATGTTGTACATTCTTCCCCTACAAGTTTAATCCTCGGGTACTTTTTGTACTTCCTGAGCTTTTCAAATTTAGTTTAGATGGTCTTCTTCTTCTTCTTCTTTTTTTATTTAATCAAGCGATTCAAAATTTCTGAGCTAGTTTGGCCAATTATCCTAATCCATTCTTCTTTTTCTTCTTCTTCTTCTTCTTCTTCTTCTTCTNCAAATTTAGTTTAGATGGTCTTCTTCTTCTTCTTCTTTTTTTATTTAATCAAGCGATTCAAAATTTCTGAGCTAGTTTGGCCAATTATCCTAATCCATTTTCTGTGGACAAAACACACGTAATCCCAAGACAACATGATTTGCAGTCTTGTAAGTTGGACAATTTCTATGGTACACGATGGTATTAAATTAGCAAAATTGATTTCAATGTTTATGATGTTTAGTGATTGCAATGTGAACCCATGTAAGTAATTTTCGACCTAAAAAACCTAAAATCTAACTGAATCAACCTTGAATAATATCGAATCGCATTGAACTAGTTTTTATGAAAAAACTCTACACTATTATTAAGGCACGTTTTCTCATCAATTTTCAATTTATGAAAAAACTTTTACACGGTTCGCTTCCTAATCTATCTATCTATATCTATCTATACTATTATGAAAGAGCCAATGAATCTGTAAAGCTTCCTAATCTATCTATCTATATCTATTTATACTATTTTGAAAGAGCCAATTAATGTAAAAATATATAATGCATAAAATATCCTTACTTTTCCATCTTTATAATAGCATATTTGTAATTTAATACCCAGCTGTAATAGCCGTGATCCACCGAGAGTCCATTTTTAGGACGATTCAACTCCAGGATAAAGTCGTGTAACTGTTCGTGGTGGGCAATTTGAATTTGTATGCACATTAATCGGATACCACGACACAGCCCAACCTCATAGAGATGAAGATCACATGCCCGGAATGATTTATTTTAATACCATTGTTGTAATAGTGCTCCTTAGTCATACTAATGTATAACCGAAACAGATAAATAGCAGCAGATATTAAACGGGCCGGCCGTCTTCAGGGTGATGGTTACCATGTGATTGGTTGGGGTTACAAAAGCTTTATCTGAATGTATATTACTCTACTTCACATGAACCTAAAGTTTTTTTTTAGAAGAGACTGATATCTACAACAACAACAACATAGCCTTTTAGTCCCAAGCAAGTTGGGGTAGGCTAGAGATGAAAATCAAGAGAATCAATGGTAAGAGAAACACAAAAAGGGCTCAAAACAAAAAGAAAAAGATTGGAGCAAAAAGAGAAAGGAGCAAAAGTCACGGTTCTGGCACGTTGATTGCTAGCCTCCAAGCGCTCCTATCCAGTATCCACCGCTAAATCCTTGGAGATATTCCAATCTTTAAGGTCTCTCTTAACCGACTCTTCCCAAGTGAGTTTAGACCGACCTCTACCTCTCTTTACATCAGCGACCTGCTGTAGAACTCCCCTACACACCGGTGCATCAGGAGGCCTCCGTTGGACATGTTCGAACCACCTCAGCCGATGTTAAACCAATTTCTCCTCAATTGGAGCCTCCCCGACCCTATCTCGAATATCCTGATATCTATTTAAATTATATTATTTCCTTGTGCTCAATAATATTTCGGAGTACTTTCATAGTGATAGTTGCAAGGGACGATGGTTTGAATATGGGATTTGAAGTTGGTATGATTAAAAGAGTTTAATTGATTTTCCTACTTTTTTCACAATTAAAAAAAAAATACTTGAAACAAAGAAGATACAATGAGAATTAAAAATTATATATATTGAATATTTTATTTATTGATATTATCTTAAGATTTTTAAATGATTTTTTTTTATGGATTTTTCAATAAAATTTGAGAGTTTATTTGACCATAAGTATCATATCAAATAAGATAACCCCTTCAGTAATATTTATTCAATTTTATAAGTTTATTAATACCTCTAAATAAAAAAATGACATCAGTATTGTTTGTTCTCATAATGACCACATAGTATAGAAACATTATTTTTCAAAATAAATAAATTGTGTAATAGTATGAGAGATTAATTGTTGAATGATTGTTTTACAACCTAAAATTCTAATCTACTCAATTTCTTTGCTTCAAATAATATTAGAATAATTTTATGAAATTGTATAATACTAAAGCTCAATCCATTTGTTTTCAAATCGAGTGGGATATCATTTGAGCAACATGATTTAATTTTGGTAGTATGATTATTTACAAATTAATTAAGAATATCCCGAGAATCATGATATGCCTATATACACTGAAAGTCAATTAATTTTTACCAAGAAATTAGATCAATATATTATCATTATCTAACTATCTATTAATCCGTATTCTTATAAGAAAACAATGTTTTTTTCTTAAGAAAATAATGTACGAAATAAAAAATTTACATATTTGATTATAATATTAATGAGAAAATTGTAACTATATATATTATAATAAAGATACACACTTAATTGATATATAATAAGACATGAACCAAAAATCTCTATACTTAAGTTTATGTATTTTTTAGAAATCTAAAAGTTAATATGATTACGTCGTCGTAACACTTACTTATAAATAATTATTAAGTAAAACCATATTAAATATGATAAATAATATTAAAAGTATAATTAAGTTGTAACACTTATTTATAAGTACAAAAAAAAGTAATAAATAAAAAATTATAATTAATAAATTTAAATATAAAACTTTTAAAGCTTGTATTTATCGATGTAAACGATTCAAATTGTCCAACGCCTTTTTCAGTTTTGTGCTTATTAGTTCTATATGTAACTTTTAGGTGATAGACAATAGTTATTTGTACTATTATCAATGTAGGTTATAACTTTTATTTTCTTTAAAAAAAAATAAACTTTATTATTCTAATTTTAAACAAAATTTTATTCGTCATTAGTTTTTTTTAATATAATATACAAATATCATATTATATATATATATAATATAATAATCATTTTATTATTAAATATTTAATATGTAACTAGACAACTTCATATTGATTTCGCGGTCTTTTTATCAGAAATTCTATGGTGTCCATATGGGCATCATAAGTCATGCCATAATATGATGTGGCACATGAGTTGGCGGGCTTTACTTTGGTGTTCTATTTCTTCGTAGGCGGGCTTTACTGTGGTGTTGGCTGACCATTTCAGATAGATTTCCTTTTCAGGATCAATTCCTGTTTGGGCATAGTTGTTGTTGATTTTTTGAACATTTTTTTTTTCCAAACATCAAACAAGCTGGAATTAAGAATTCAAAGAAGTTTACAATACACCAGCAACCAACTGATTGCACCTCCAGGACATAGCAAGGCTAAGAAAACAGAGATTCGAGGGAAAATAACATGATCCCCCTTCAAGACCTATGATTAACACAAGGCTAGGCCACACTACCACTAGAAGCAGTAAAAACAAAGAAAAAGGAAGAAAAATAGTTCAACAGTGAATATACATCAAACAGAATAGGGGCTGCAGATGAAGTTGGTATGCCCTTGGATTGAAGTAGCTTGACTGTGATGATAGATGCCAGGCTGCAATGAAGGGATTTACCTTGGTGGTCAAAGGAGGAAAAAATCCTCATAAGACACCATCTTAGTGCGAGCAAGGTAGCAGTTTCCTGGCAATCTGCATGATCAAGCACATTTTGTAGAATCCAGCTCAAAAAAATAAAAATAAAAAAAGTTTGTCATGTGGTCCAGCCACAAACAAACAAACCACTTTCGGTGGAAAAGAAAGTAAAAAAAATATATATATATAACAATAAGATAATTCAACAAAGGTGGCATACTGGTGCAAGTTTCGTGGAATGTGCATTTCTCCCATCTATAAATAGAGGGAGTGTTCAGTGGAGGATATGTACCAAGCAAAGGAGAAAGAAAAACAGCAAGAAGAAAATATAAGTATTCTTGTGTGTGAGTATTTTTCAGTGAGAGAAAAATAGAGTGTTTGAGTAAATCCTGTGAGTGTGGGAAAAATACATCGGGTCGGGTATCACCTCTATTACTCCTTGTTTGTAATATTTAATAGGAGTAGGGTTTCACTGGGTCACTATATTTTATATTTCTGGTGTAGAGGTTGTGAAAAGATATTATAATTATCTTGAAAATATAGTGGAATTATTTGGAAGTTGTCCCGTGGTTTTTTCCTCTAAATAGAAGGTTTTTTCACGTTAAATCTTGGTGTCTTATTTCTTACATATTTTATTTATTTGGGATATTCTTAGTATGCTCTATGGTCGCAGTTTAATCTGAACTTCCACATCAGAAAAGAATTATTCCTATTTTATTGTAAGAGATTTTTTTTATTCTTGAGTTGCTGGGATTGGGATTATTGTTCACCATTTTACTCTGGTGTTTTAATTTACACCTTCCGCATTTGCGCATCTGAGCACAACAAGTGGTATCAGAGATTAAGTTGGGTTCTGTATCAACCAGTGTTAGATAAATGGAGGAGAACGTAGGTACCATGGTGAAGCTGACAGCAACAAATTACTCCATTTGGAAGCCAAAAATGGAGGACATACTTTTCTACAAAGATCTGTATGATCCTATAGAAAAGGGAGATAACAAGCCAGATGACGTGAAGGATGACGATTGAAAAAAATTACACAGGAAGGCTGTCAGTTTAATCAGACAGTGGGTGGATATCAGCATATTCCACCATGTTGCCACAGAGTCGAAAGTCCATACTCTGTGGAACAAAATCGAGCAGGTGTATCAAAGGAAGACTGCACAAAATAAAGCTTTCGTTATTAGAAAGCTTGTGAATTTAAAATATCGAGATGGAAGATCACTTGCAGAACACTTGAATGAGTTTCAAGACATGGTAAACCAACTTGTTACCATGGAGATGAAACTTGATGAAGAACTGCAGGCGTTGTTACTTTTGAGTTCTTTACCGTATAGCTGGGAGACTCTGGTGGTCTCGTTGATCAACTCTGCTCCTGAAGGAAAACTGACTTTGACCCACGTCAAAGACAGTATGTTTAATGAAGAAACAAGAA